CACACACATACATCTCATCAAAGCTCCAAGACTCCCTCGCATGTCCTGTCTGAACAAATGTGAAGCGTTTGTTGGCATGCACACCCATTTAAATCACTCTGACATGTCAGTTATCATTTGTATCAGTTCTTCTTGTAGTAGGCAAGATACTTTCAGTTTACTGCCACAGGTGTGGAAATGAGCTGTAACTTCTGCTTACAATTCAGTGTGGGAGTCGTCCTGAGATCCCACTCCACTGATGATACTTAAGATTTTTTTTTTAATATGGTTGTAGATATAAATTGCCAATTCAGGATTCCCTCTTCCCCATACTTGTTCAGATTATCCAAATACCTGGATAGTTATAGGATCACATTAGATTGGCAATGGGGCCAGGCATGGTGTTGCATGCCTTTAATCTCAGCAGGTGGATCCCTGAGTTTAAGGCCAGCCTGGTCTTACAGCAAGTCCCACAACTACCAGGGCTACACAGAGAAGCCCTGTCTTGGAAAAACCAACAACAAAAAAGATTTGAGCGGGGAAGAGAAGCTGAACATTAGCCCAGCTGAGAAGGGACAAAGGCCTTCTCAACGCAATGGCTGAAGGATCTTGAATTTTTTTCTCTTTTGTTTGAGGGACATGGTTTTGCTACGTAGCTTAGACTAGCCCAGCTCTTGTGTTAACCCTCTTGCCTCAGCCTTCCAAGTGTTAGGATTCTAGGTATGGGCTGCAGATTAGTTTTTCATATCTAAGCACAGAGGAGTCAATAGAGGAAATCCCATCACTCAGATGTCCCTTGGTGCACATCACAAAATAAAACAACATTGGCTAGAAAACATTTAAACTAGTGTTTACATTTTCTCATTCACTTTTTGATTCACTTTTGAATTAGTAAATCTCATTCCAAGCCAGGTGTGGAAGCATACACCTTTAATCCCAGCAAGTAGGCAGCTAACCAGGGAAACATAGTAAAAGCCTGTTTCTAAATAAACAAACAAACAAACCTATTGGTTTTCTTGAGACAGGGTTTCTTTGTCCTGGAACTCCCTCTGTAGACCAGGCTGACCTCAAATTCTGACATCCACCTGCCTCTGCCTCCCCAGTGCTGGGATTAAAGGCATGCATCACCACTACTAGGCTTAATAAATAATTTTTGTTTTGTTTTGTTTGGGTTTTTGGTTTTTTGAGACAGGATTTCTCTGTGTATCTTTGGCTGTCCTGGCATTCTCTCTGTAGACCAGGCTGGCCTTGAACTCACAGAGATCCACCTGCCTCTGCCTCCCAAGTGCTAGGATTAAAGGCATGTGCCACCACCTCCCGGTAATAAACAATTTTTAAAAGAACGAGAGAAAAGAAAATCCTATCCAGAAAACAATTATAATTTTCACAAATATTTCAAAGAACAGGAGCACATTCTAAAATGACTTTAATTTTATGAAATCATTTGTTTCCTCTATTTAGCAAACTTTAGACAAGCTCTCTGTCAAACACTAGGTAGTCAGATGAGACCCAGAACCAGCTTAAATCAGAGCTTTGGCTCTAGCTTACTCTGCGTCTGTGAGGAACAGGAGGCTGCAAGCACCTCACACAGATCCCTCCAGATTCTCGGTGGGTGCCACTGCAGAAAGTTCCAGCTTTGACCGCAAATCCATGACCAAGTTAATCCCTGTACTTCAATGTATAAAAAGCCTCTAGAAAATGTTTCAAAGAGGAAACACTACTGAGGGCTGATGGGATTGCTCAGTGGGTAAAGAAACTGCCATGTAAATCAGAGAGCTTGAGTTCAACTCTCAGATCCCACAGGAGAGAGCAGACTTCCGGCATGACACACCCACACAACAATAAATAACAAGTAAGTGTTTTGACATTGAAGGTACAACATGCGTCTGGAGAGGTGGCTCTGTGGCTAAAAGCACTTGTTGCTCTTGTAAAGGACCCAGGCTTGAGCCTCAGCACCCGTTTCGTGGCTCACAGCCATCTCTAACGTTGGTTCCAGGGGATCTGACACCCTTTTCTGACCTCTGTGAGCACCTGGCATCTACAAAGTGCCATATATAAAGGAAGGCAAAACAGTCATACACATAAAATTAAATAAATCTAAAATACATCTAATAGGAAGAACAGCATGTCTTGTATCAATCAGCCTCTCCTGGCTAGGTTGTAGATGTGATCACACATGGCCTATCTCCAGCACTCCAGCACACACACACACACACACACACACACACACACACACACACACCACCCTTAGCTCCATTCACACTGGTTACAGGTATATGTTGTCATACCCATTTGGAGATCCGAACTCAGGTCCTTATTCAAGCAATAAGCACTTACCCACTGAGCCATTTCCCTGGTTTCACCACAACTGTCTGAATCCATGTCCCCTGGTGACCTAAAGACCTTCCATCACCTCCCAGCAATGCCAAGCTGGGAACCAAAACTTTAATATATAGAGTTCTGAGGTTCATCCAAGGTCCAATTATAGCATGTATGAACACCTGTTCTGGACCAAACCAACTAAATTATTTCTATAGAGAAATAGAAATCAGTCTGTTATGTGTCGAGACACCTAACAGTGTGCTGCAGCAGCCACAGCCTAATGCCTTTCAGACACCAGCAGCATTCCTACCTATGGATTCTGCTGGAAGAACAAGGAGCAACAAGAGGAGGAGGGGGAAGAAAAAAATAAACCAACTTTATATCTTTTATCTTTGGTATAAGTATATTCATCTTTTTATCACCCTCAAGTTTGTTTCTAAGAATACCAACTAATACAAATGCATTGAGTCTGAAATGTGTATTCAACATCTGTGGGGAGATTGTGAATACAGGTCTGAACACAGACCAGAGGGTAAGGAAGTAACTGAAGATGCTGGGGTAGATGCAGTTGCCAGAAGAAGTCCAAAGAGATGAAGGGGGTAAGTGGAGAGGGGAGGGGATGAAAGGTGAAGCTCTTGGGGATCAACAAAAGAAGAGTGAGTGAGTGAAGAGGGTTAAAAAGAACAAAATGA